TACATGCCGTGGAGGGATCCATCATCAGGCCCACCAAAGTCTCGAATTAAAAATCGGAAGCGAGCGCGAGAGGTTGGAAACCGAGCCAGCTCGTTTCTTCCACTTTTATCGTTTATTCCACTCTATCTTTCTCGCTTTCCTTCCCAAGTTCGATCAAACGTACGATTCGATACGATCACGACACGATTTATTTATTATCTTATTTATTTTCCTCCGAGCGAAAAAGTTTTCTAGCTCGAAGTCTTTCTTTCTTTCTTTCTTTCTCCGATATCCGAAAAAATCTATACCCGTCTCTCTCTCTCTCGTAATTCGCCTCGCGCGTATCGAATTCAATCGAGAGATTCGATCTCTCAAGTTGGTGGTTGCGTACCAACGACAAAAAAAAAAAAGAAGAAGAAAAAGAAAAAAAAAAAATCTTCTAAGCGCATTGTCCCAACAGGTGTCCAAAAGATTCGAGACGGCCGATTCCCGTGGCAGGATATCATTTTCAACGAATGAGAGAAGAACGTCCGAAAAAAGAATCGCGTTATCAGTTAATGAATCTTCTCCCCTCCTCCCCCGCCCCTCCCTCGTCGAAAAGAGCGTTGGTCCGATCTCTGCTCCCAGAGACTCACCCCCCTCTCTCCGTCTCTCGTGCCCTCCGACAATAGAAGCGTCCGACGAATTTCGAAAAGAGGCAAAATAAAAAATGATCCTCCCGGGGGCCGTTGCGGAGGAGGAGGAGGAGGAGGAGGAGGAGGAGGAGGAGGAGAAGGAGGAAAAAGCGAAGAGCGAAGAGAAAGAGGGAGAGAAGAGGATCGAAGCGGAACAGAAGGAACGAAAAGCAAGACATTTCTCTCTCTCTCTCTCTCTTCATCCAACCGGCTGCATGCCTGCCCGCCGACTGTCCGTCTTCTCTTTTCATCCTTGCTGCCTTTTATCCGGCTGGAATGATTAATGGGTTCACGGAGGCATCGCTGTCCTCCACCCCACTGCGCCCCCCCAAGACCGGCACCAGCACACGCGCGGCTTTTCTGCTTTTCTTCGCGCCGGATTAACCCTCCCTTCCACCACCTTACCCTCCTCCCTCTCCTCCTCCCCCATCTCTCTCTCTCTCTCTCTCTCTTTCTCTCTCCGACCAGATTCGACCGTTGTTGCCGCCGACTTCCTTCGCTCGCACCCCCGCAAAAATTGGACTGGATCTCTCGCTCGAGTATCTCGACGAGATGCGAAATTGGGTCGATGAAACTATTCGAATATTCGAATACGTGCGATCCAACTAAGTAATTTTATACGTTCGGAAATTAGATTTAACGTTAAAAAAAAAGAAAAAAAAAAAAAAAATAGGGGAATATTTCTCCATCCAAAAGGATCTACCTTCCGTTCCAAAGATTACCAAGATTATTACGTAAACGTTCGCGTGTTTTCTAGGTTAACCTGAATGGTTGATGTATTCCTGACGGAAGAAATGTATACGTATGCCTATTCGAGGGGACGTCAAGGTTCATAGAAAAGACGTCTGAAGAGGCAGCAGCAGAAGAAGAAGAGAAAGAAGAAGAAGAAGAGATGGAGGAGGAGGAGGAGGAGGATGAAACCATGTGGTACGCTTCTTTTTCCTAAGCCTCGTTCCACCGGCAAACCTCGATTCACCGGCGACGCACGCACGCACGCGGTTCTTCTCCGTTTCGACCCGCTTTTACATGATAAATTATGCCCGATTTTTTCCCCGTATCAATTCCGCCGCAGATACGACGCAACGTACGGAGAGGTAGCCTTTTGTTCTAACGTGTGTAGTTGTCGGCTCGTGCGTAGGTGGTGATGGGGAGGGGAGGGGGAGAGAGTGAGAGACAGAGACGAGGAGGCGACGAGGAACGTCGCTGGATCGTGGAATCGCGAGAAGAAAACGCGATATCTTACGATTTTCGCCAGAGACGAGAGAAACAAAAAAGAAGAAAAGAAAAAAAGAAGAAAAAGAAGGAAACATCGACAAACGAATTGGTCGAAAGAATTCGTGTACGATTCCACAGGCCATCGGAGGATTCCTTAATTTTTCGAAACGAGCGAGTTTCTGAGAACGAAATCGGCCAGAAACATGACTGACAACCGTGATTTCTCGGACAGAGAAATTCATTCAAATTTTTCTCCGCATTTCTTCCCTCCTCACGGATCCCCTCCTGTTTTTCGCCTCGAGGTTAATCCACGATCTCTAATCTCGTTACTCTCGTCGTCTCTCGATGAAGAAATAAACGCGTGACAGTGTGTTTCCATTTGCCGCGCGCGCGCGCACACACATGCGCGCAGGTATACTCCTCTCAAAGAGAGGAGAGAAGAAAAGGATAAGAAAAGGGGACGGGTTATGTGTGTCAGCAAGATTCCCAATTCCTGACGAAAAGGGAAGGAGAGAAGGGGGAAGGGACGGTGACGAGTTACGAGGCATGTCGCATTCGATTTCACGCAGTCAGTTTTCTGGTAATTGGCATGGATGGCGTCGTTGTACACCAGGGGCGTGAATTTAATCGAACCCGATGGAACATTATTCTCTCCAATTTTGCTGGACGATCAAACGCTCCGTCGAAATGGGACTGCGCCCATGCGTGTATGTGTTCGTGTATGCGCGTGGCGAAGGGAAAAAAAGAAAAAACGTTAGGTTTAGTTCCCGTATGTATCCGCGTAAAAATTAACCAATACATCGAGCGAGAATAACGAAACGAAACGAAACGAAACGAAACGAAACCGAATTCGACAATTTCCCTATCAACTTATTACGCCCGCCTATCTATCGTCCGAAAGGAAGAAGAATCGAGAAGGGACGAGGCGGAAATCGATTAGCGAGAACAGGCGTACGGGCAAACGTTGTCCAAACGTTGTCTCAAGAAAGAAGAAAATCTCGGCTGGGAAGACGTTAATCCGGCAACGACTTTGGCTATGAATCAATCAACCGTGGCAGAAGGTAATTCAAAAACTCGACGGCCGGTATCTCTCTTTCTCTCTCTCTCTCTCTCTCTCTCTCGAGGCAAAAGCCGCGCGAATATACACGAGGAACAACGAAATTGACTCGTTAGCCTGCTAGATGCTGGCGAGCGAGCGAGCGCGCGCGCGCGCGCTCCACGAGCGTAGAGGCGTGCAACAGTACAATACACACCGGCGAGTAGGAATTCGTGAGACTGTCAACCCACGCGAGACGCGCGGCAACGGGAAACGATGACGCTGGCTGATCTCAAAGGCATCCATCGATCGCGAGGCAGTCAACGGTTCGCGCAGTCCGACCGACTTTATGAGTTATAAGTCGGCCATCTTGCCAGAGCCATCGCATATTCACGTGCGCGCATATGGGATGCACTGGCAATATGTAAGTGCCACATTCTGTTCTGGTGCACAAAGTACAGTCCGATCTAAAAATCAATCCGAACGGAACGAGAAATTTCCTTTAAGCGCGTAAAGGAAAAATCGCGAAACGGTATCACGATTTCGCACGAGTACTCCTCCCTCTCCTTTTTCGGGTCCCTTTTTCGGGGATTCTTCTTTAGGTATTATTTTTCGAGTGCGCGCGAATAATAATAATCGAGCGAGTGGAATAGCGCGGAGGCAATAATGGCGAGCTTCTCGGAAAGCTGACCGCGAGGCTCGAGAAATTTTTCAATGGCCGAGTTCTTGTATAAAGAGCGAGCAGAAATAAGAGACGGGGATATATACCGTAAACTGGAAAAGCATTGGCGTGACTTTAACTGGGTGAGGTCGGCACGGTGCAGAGTTACAGTTACGGAATCGACATTTCGGTAGAATAATAATAATAATAATGATAGTAACAATAATCGATTCAATTCGTTGGAATAAAAAGAAATTGGAGAGGAAGAACGGTTTCAAAAGTAGCGTTCGCATGCATTTACGATCGTCCAATTTTTTCGCGCGAACCTCGAAGGAAAGAGGGGGAAAAAAAAAAAATGAAAAAACTTGAAGAAATTTCAAAAAGGATCTTGAAAAATTTGATGAACGAGCTGGTTCGTATCCCCTCCCTTCCAGATAGGATTCGATACGCGTCCCGATTACGACGGTTAATGTTCCTCCAGTTTACGGTATTTGCCGGACGATCGAATAACGAAACTAGTTAATTCTTTCCTCGATCGATCAGACTGGTTTCGCGGTAACCTCGTTCCGCGGCTCGAGAATCCATCAAGACCGTCGAAGAGAACGAGCGTGCGCATAATCGATAAGCCAATCCCGGTCGCGATAACAGAAACAATGAATCCCTTCCTCGCGCCTGGATTGATCGGGCCAGGTTAATTTCGCGTTAACACCCGTGCTTTTCCCCGGTGGCGATAAAACGAGAACGTTAAAAAAGCCACGAGGTCACGATCGTCAACGCGCGAAATTGATTTTACGCCAAGTACGATCTCGACTTGCCAGCCAGTTACGCTTGTCAATTGTCCGTAGCCCAACCCCGAATTCGATGCCAACCAATAGACCCCCCCCCCCCTCTTTGGGTGTCGCCGTTTCGTCGAATACCGCGAGAACACTCTCCTCTTAATTCCTCTATTCGCCCAATTTCCGTTCCTCGCGAACGTCGATTCGAGGAAACCATCCAACCGTCGAACCGTCGAACGTCCTCTTTTTTCCATCAATCCGCGCCGTTCTCCTCCGCGATATCTCCGCGCACCGATCACCCACCGTTTTATCCTCCATCGATGCTCGAATACCGCCGCCGCCGCCGCCACCCACGCACGAGGAGGAGGAGGAGAAGAAGAAGAAGAACGTCAACTTCTAGTTAACAACTGTTAACAACTGCATCTCCTCTAATTGCTCTCTAGGTGAATCTCGGTTCGGGGACCGTATATACCGGGTAATTATTTCTTTTTTCCTCCTCCTCCTCCTCCTCCTATATACCCTGGCGTAATTTAATTTAACAAGGTCGATCGAGAGTTTTAAGAGAGCATTTTGCAAGCGCGACGAATCGAAAAGAAGAACGAGAGAAGGAGAAGGAGGAGGGGGAGGAAGACGAGGGGAAACGACGAAGCTGGACTCACCGTGAGGCTGATGGCCCGAAGTCGGGGGATTCAAGAAGGTCGGCGGTAGCTGCCTGCTCACCGACTTCACCAATTCTCCCCCCGTCAGCCCGTAGATCGCCAACAACTCCTGCATAGTCGACTCCGCGTACTCCCTCATCCCTTCGAACGGTTTCCTCTCCTCGCACTCGGCGTCGCCGTCCCCGTCCTGCCCTCGCTCGTCCTCGAACGGGGTGTCGTCCAACCGTCCCGAGTCCGCGTCCAGGACACCGCTTCCTCCACTCTTCTCCGACGATTCCGAGTTCGGACTCCTGGCCTGCGCGCCAAACAAACAAATCCGCGTGACGATTTCTCGCAAACAGAGAGTGAGAGAGAGAGAGAGAGAGAGAGAGAGGGAAAGAGGGACTCACTTCGGTGCCAGGGGAGTAGAGTTTCTGAGATCTGAGCTGCTCCAGGATGAACTTGTGCCTGAGAGAGTCGCCGCTATCGTCGTCGGCCTCGGAGGACGGGGGCCTGGTGGCCACGGACAGGTCCATGGGGCTGACCTCGTTGTTGTTCAACCTCTGCTTGGACCTGTCCTCCGCAGGCAACAGCATCGTCTTCCTCTCGTACTCGAGTATCTCGCTCGAGCTCTCCTCCATCGCCCCGTCCAGCTCGTCGTCCTCCTTCTCGGACTCATCGGACACCTCCACCATCCGGCTGCTTATCGGCTTGAAGTTTTTGCGCTTGTTGCGCGGCTTCTGGATGCTCGTGATCTGCAGCTGGGCCTGGCCCTCGTACTGGGAGTCGCTGTCCTGATCGCCGGTCCCCCGCCGGGTCGTCGCGTAGTTGTACACCGAGTCGGAAAGCATCTCCGCTGATGGAAAAGGAACCGGGACATCAGAGAGACCACCGCTTTTTCTCTCCCTTTCCGACTTTCTTTCCGCTTTCTTTTTTTTTTTTTTTTTTTTCTTTTCTTTCTTTTAGCCTTTATTTTAGCTATTATTATTATTATTATTATTATTATTATCGTTATTGTTATTGTTATCCCCCTGTTATCCCCGCGCAATTCTCCAATCGGTCGATTCCCGAGAGCGGCGAGTATCTCGAGCTCTTTCCAATTTTTTTCTCCAACGCGGCAAGGAACGCGGAGGGGGGATGAGAGATCGATCTCGAGATACTATCCAACGATCTCTTGTACGCGCGCGCGTCGGGACGCGAAGGACGCGAAACAACAATTTTTAACGTTAATTAGAGAATACGAGCCGGTACCTCGCTCGTACGTTAATTGAACGTTCTGGGAATGGTGGTTGGTCGATGGTCGTGCCGCGAACGGCTGTTACCGATATTCGTTCAAACGGGCATGACGCGATCGCGATCGCTGCCCACCGCCACGTTCTCTCCTCCGCCACGTTCAAAAAGCACGGGGGCTAACTTCGAGGGGGTGGTCGGTACGCCGATACATTTTAGAAAAGGGAGTGGTGTCTTACTGGGGCCATACGGGCTGGTTACGGCGGACATCTCGAATCTCCTCGACCGGCCGGATCTTCAACGCATTCTGAAACAGAAAAGAAAACGGGGCGGGGGCCGTGCGTTAGTTTTCAGTTGGCCAGATACTTGAGAGAGAGAGAGAGAGAGAGAGAGAGAGAGGGGAGGGAGGGAGAGAAGGGGTCGCAATCGGGCTAATATTTCAACGCGAGGGATCGAGTTGGTATTCCGTGTAAATCTCGTTAATAAACCACCAATCACGATGAGGGACGGTGGTTCCCCGAACGGGTGACACAATCGGTGGTGGAACGTGGAAAAGAACGCGTTGTATACCACCGCGGCGGTTTTATTATCTATTTCTGTGTGTCACCGTGAAAGTGGGTTAGAGAGCAAGTTCAGCGAAACCCCTCCGTGTGTTCGGTGACGGGCGTGTTACACACAAGGCTGCCGAACCGAGAACCCACGTCGTCCACCACGTTCGCACCACTGTGGAACGAGACGCGAGAACAAGGCGAAAACAAAGGCACGTCGTCGTAACAAAAGCTACGCTGATATACGAGCGCTGCTCGGTCAGCCGAGTAGACGGGCTTGCGATAACGCGAAACGAGGGACAATTCGTTTCTCGGTTGGCACGAACCTCGTTCTCTCTTCTTCCTCTTCCTCTTCTCTCCTCCACCTCTTCCTTCTTCCTCTTTCGTTATCGATACGAAACAAATTTTCCACCATTTTTCGAAATATTTTTTTACTCCCTACGATTTTACCTTCGTTACGGAACAATGCAATTGGAAGAATCGAGTTAGTTGGCGATAACGAGTCCCTCCCTCCCTCCCTCCGTCGTTAATCATTTACTCCAGCCTGTTGATCACCGGTTAGCTCTCTCAATCGATTCGGATGACTTGGTCGGAGGCATCCGAGCCTCGCTCCCTAATTCGGCCTGAAAATCGTTAGTTCCGTTTTTGCCCGCTTCATTATCGGTTATTTATTTCCGCACTAAAACCGGCCCATTAAGGCTCCCGGACGAATATGGCAACGCGGCCGTTCGCCACCGCGACAAGAAACCATTTTCCCCCAACGTCGCTCCCAAATTCCATCCATTGCCCTCCGACAAGAACCTCCGATCTTCCGCCCCTTCCGTTCCGTTCCGTTCCATACTACGCTACGCAACGTCGAAATCTGTCTATCGTGAAATTCAACCGATTCCAAACTCCCTCCTTTCCCTTTTTTCCGATTAAAAAAGATTATTCCAAGGGAAAGGAAAAGAAGCCGAAAATTCGACCATTTCCCCTCCTTTCGGTGGTTGGCCGGGATCTTGGCCCGAATCAAAACCCTGTCCAACGACAGGAAAGGAAAGGGCAGCAAGGCTCGGATCGGGAAATTGGAATTATACGTTGGAAGGGGCGAAGGAAGAGGAGCGAAGGGACTCGATCTAAGATCTCGATTCGAGAATTGGGGTGGCGGGCACGGCGGAAGTTGGACGGGATTGGAGCGTGCGCGGACCACGTGACCCTGCCGGTCGGAACGCGTGGATAGTAGTAGAGAAGCGGGCCCTCTCCCGATGGGGATGTAACACGAGTGGACGACGTGTCCGAGCCGGGAGGCCGGGGGCTCTTTTCTCCCCCCGACGTATACACGCACATACACGCACACGCGCACGAGGGATAATTAACATCTGTTACTGTACGTATATCCGAGCGGGCCGCCCCGTTTCACCCCCACCACCGGCCACGGGGCGGACCTTGAATACATTATCACCCTGTTTGCACATGGTACGTGCGTGGAACCGGGCCGTCGAATCGGAGTGCGCCGCGATCGACCCTGAACAATGGGACCGCGCTGTGTCTTTGTGCCGTGTGCGCTGCGCAAACGTCCATCATCTTTTTTATCTTTCGGATAAATTCTTCTCCCATCCCCTTCCATTACTACTCTTTCTCAATTTTCAATTTACATCGAACGATATCGAAATTCTCCTCCTTGCCCAAACTTGTCGAGGAAACGACTCCTTTCCTCTTTCTTCGAATCCTTCTTTCTCCCTCCCCGGATGGAGGATGGATTCGAGAAAAGAGAAATTGGCCTCCGTTCGATGGCCTAGATTCTTCTCGAAGGGGTGCCTTCGAGAAGAATAAAAAGAACGAGGCGGCGAGCGAGGAGAGCAGCCTCGACATTCCTCGCGACTATTATTCGCGCGAATCGGCGCAAAAAAGCCTCTCTCTAATGATTCAATTCGAAGCAGGGGTTGATTAGGAAGAAAGAGAGAGAGAGAGAGAGAGAGAGAGAGATTTGCACGCGCGTTACGTCGCGTTGCGATGATGAATTCCGAAGGCTGGTCTTGTCCGCGAAAGGAAAAGGCTCGCGATGGAAATTGAGACATTTTCCTACGCCTCTGCCTTTTCTTCTTGCCCCTCGAAGAACCTTAGAATTCTTAATGAACGTTGTCACGCTTTGAGTAGCGAGCGTTCCGTCTTCCCCACGATTCCGGTTTTTCACTCTCGGTAATTTACGAGATACGCATCTGCCAACCGACGTAACTTTCCTTCCAAGACACTTGCACGGTTAATGGCGGCTCTCCATCAACCGCCGTTCAAATTTCAAGAAAACGAATCTCTACGGAAAACCTACGCGATTTCGCGCTCGAAATTAGTTAGAAACCGCGTTGCCGCGAGCGACCACGCGATTTTTCGACCTCGAAACGGGACGCGACGCAACGAGGAAATGGGCGGAACGAAAAAAAAAAATACTTAAAAACACGATCGAAGGGTTGTGTGAGACGCGAAATAAAGAATCGAAAGAGCCGTCGTTTCCTCCTAAATCATCCCCTCCAACGACCATCGCCGCAACAGATCACCACCATCCTTGGAGTACAAGCAAAAGAAGAAGCAACACCGCGACGGATCCAGCAGGCCAGACAGACTTGGTCGAAGAAAAATTGAGTGGAAACAGGCCACTGGGCGTTCCGATCCCGGGGGAATCGATCAACCAAGGTCAACGTCCACGCGGAGCGACGTGGAACACGAAGCGGCTCGATCCACGAATTCTGGCAACGAATTGTCGAATCGAGGGGAAAGAGCGTAATAACGGAGAGGAGGGGAAGAGTGTATGTGTGTGTGTGTGTGTGGAGAGGGAGAGAGAGAGAAAGAGAGAGAGAGAGCACCACTCGACATAGCTCGCCGGTGATAGAGGCGCGGAAAACAAAAAAGCAGGCGACGTAACGCGTTCGTTCGTCAAACACTTGAATGTAATGTTGCCAGGCCTGGACTCGTGGCTTTTCAAGTGTCTGCTGGAATACCGGTAGATTATTCAAATTCGCCAGCGACTTAAGCCTTAAAATAAGCGTTGCTTATCTCTCGGCCACGTTTTCTCGAGTGGGCCCCTCCACCCGACTGCCGGGGATGGAACTGCGTTTCCTCACCACGTGTAATTGTTTTCTGTAATTTCGTTTCTTTTTCTTTTCTTTTCTTCACTATCAACTATCCGTATAACGTAATATCTAACAGCGTATCTGTAACGCGTTCACGATATACCACGATATAATAAAGGAACGTTTTATCTTTACGCGA